ATTGGAGGAGATAGGCGAATTGAATGTATATGTCGTGATATGAACGACTCTAGTGGATCCGCCTTCTCATTAGAGGAGATAGGCGCATTGAATGTATATGTCGTGATATGAACGACTCTAGTGGATCCGCCTTCTCATTGGAGGAGATAGGCGAATTGAATGTATATGTCGTGATATGAACGACTCTAGTGGATCCGCCTTCTCATTAGAGGAGATAGGCGCATTGAATGTATATGTCGTGATATGAACGACTCTAGTGGATCCGCCTTCTCATTGGAGGAGATAGGCGAATTGAATGTATATGTCGTGATATGAACGACTCTAGTGGATCCGCCTTCTCATTAGAGGAGATAGGCGCATTGAATGTATATGTCGTGATATGAACGACTCTAGTGGATCCGCCTTCTCATTGGAGGAGATAGGCGAATTGAATGTATATGTCGTGATATGAACGACTCTAGTGGATCCGCCTTCTCATTAGAGGAGATAGGCGCATTGAATGTATATGTCGTGATATGAACGACTCTAGTGGATCCGCCTTCTCATTAGAGGAGATAGGCGCATTGAATGTATATGTCGTGATATGAACGACTCTAGTGGATCCGCCTTCTCATTAGAGGAGATAGGCGCATTGAATGTATATGTCGTGATATGAACGACTCTAGTGGATCCGCCTTCTCATTAGAGGAGATAGGCGCATTGAATGTATATGTCGTGATATGAACGACTCTAGTGGATCCGCCTTCTCATTAGAGGAGATAGGCGCATTGAATGTATATGTCGTGATATGAACGACTCTAGTGGATCCGCCTTCTCATTAGGGGAGACAGGCGAATTGAATGTATATGTCGTGATATGAACGACTCTAGTGGATCCGCCTTCTCATTAGGGGAGACAGGCGAATTGAATGTATATGTCGTGATATGAACGACTCTAGTGGATCCGCCTTCTCATTAGGGGAGACAGGCGAATTGAATGTATATGTCGTGATATGAACGACTCTAGTGGATCCGCCTTCTCATTAGGGGAGACAGGCGAATTGAATGTATATGTCGTGATATGAACGACTCTAGTGGATCCGCCTTCTCATTAGGGGAGACAGGCGAATTGAATGTATATGTCGTGATATGAACGACTCTAGTGGATCCGCCTTCTCATTAGGGGAGACAGGCGAATTGAATCCCACAAGAGGCTTTCGCCAGAGCGGGCAAAGTAGGAACAGTTTAGCCTCGTGTACTAGTTGGAGGTTTTGAGGGCCAGTTTAGACTCATGCACTCTTGGGAGTTTGTGAAGGAGCACTATGGGTAGTACTTCTTCAGGTACTTGCCGTTGATGGGCATCATGATCTTATCACCGTTCGGTTTGACGAGGCGATAGGCACCGTTTGAGTAGACTGTCTCTACCACGAATGGTCCTTCCCATTTGGACTGGAATTTCCCCTTCTTCTTGGAAGTGAGGATCATTGGTCTACGGACGGATAGGACGAGCTCTCCTTCTTTGAAGGCTCGGCGCTTGACTTTCTTGTCGAAACTCTTGGCCATCCGAGCTTGGTAAAACTCAATGTGCTGCTGAGCTTCCAGTCGCTTGTCGTCCAGTGCTTCGAGCTCTGCGAGTCGAAGTTGGTGATTTTCCTCAGTCGTCATCCCTGTCGCTAGGGCGACGCGCAGGGATGGAATCTGAATTTCTAATGGCAATACAGCTTCACAGCCGTATACCAACGAGTAAGGCGTGGTGCCAGTCGGTGTACGAACCGTCGTGCGATATGCCCACAGGCTCTCGCCTAGCTTTTCATTCCAGTCGCGCTTGCTAGTGGAAGTCAACTTGGTCAGGATCTTGATGATCGTCTTGTTGAAAGCTTCGGCCAGACCATTCGCTGAAGGGTTGTAGGCCGTGGACGAGAGGTTCTGTATCCGGAATTTGTCGCAGAACCTAGTGAAGGCATGGCTAACGAATTGCGTGCCATTGTCGTGAATTATACGCCGAGGTACGCCATATCGGTAGATGACATGGTGCTTGATGAATTTGATCACGTCGCTAGTCTTGACTTCTCTTAAGGGGATGGCCTCCGCCCATTTAGAGAAATAATCAGTAATGGCGAGGATGAAGCGATGACCTTTCGCCGATGGTGGAGAAATTGGTCCAACTATGTCCATCCCCCATGCCTCGAAGGGCCAAGATGCCCTCGTCGGATGTAGATCCTCAGGAGGCTGGTGTATGTAGTTGGCGTGGATCTGGCATTCGTAACATCGCTTAGCATAAGCGACTGCATCAGTAACCATCCCAGGCCAGAAGTAGCCCATCCTTCGTAAGCGATACCAAAGCTTGGGTCCGGGCTGATGAGCTCCGCACACGCCGTCATGTGCTTCGCGTACGGCTTCTTGCGCCTCTGCTTTTGAAAGACAGCGAAGTAGCAAGCCGTCGTATGACCTGCGATACAATGTTTTAGTGGTTGAATCGTAGTAGAACCGTGAGGCACGTCGTCGGACCGACTCTCGTTCCTTCGAATCCTCAGGCAACATGCCGTATAGGACATAATCGATGATCGGGAGACGCCAATCTTCCTGATTTGGCTGACCCGAGGCTTGACGAGTGGCGTTTGCTTCTGGGACTTCTTTGGGTCGAAAGAGTTTTCGGCTGGCGACAGCGACCCGCTTTGTCGTTCCAGGAGGCTGGGCTAAGTTAGCTGCCAAGGATGCGAGAGCATCCGCATGGGTGTTCCTTGAA